TAATAAATAAAATTATTCTTTAAAAAAAAAATACAGGTCCATGGTGCCGGCAGGTGGCGTGGTGGTTAAGGGTGCTCCCACATGGCTGACCGTGATTTGAGTCCCGGACTTGGCAGTTTCCTTTATCTCTCTCTCTCTCTCTCTCTCTCTCTCTCTCACACACACACACACTCTGTCCCTCTCTGGTCAAACTAAAAGTAAATAAATAAAGTTAAATAAAATAATTATTTAAAACAAACAATACAACACTGGTCCAGGGTGAGGCGAGTGAGACCCTTGCCTGGGGCCCTTCATTTCAGGGGCCATAATCAAGAGCAGTGGTGATAGGCGTGTGTATGTGTCACTCTTCACCCCACCTCCTAGGGACAGGGCAGTGGTCATGAGACGGTCACCCCAGACCTGGGCTAGAGCCCAGCAAGCAGGGCCAGCCAAGGCCATGGGGCGGGTCTAGCAGGTGGGGGCACTGTCTGGAGTTATTCTGTGCTCTGAACTCAACCTTCTTCCAAAGAGCTGAGCAACTGGGTCCGCTCCCTCTGGATCCCACATCGTCAACTGTGTGGTTCAAGTCCCAGCCCTGGTGAATTGGAAAACGGGCATGTGTGTGTGTGTGTGCCCAAAATTCTGAGAAGAGAATGGAAGAGAAAGGATTGTGGCGTGGCCATCCCCCGGAAGGGCGCTTTCTCGCTTTCTCTCTCTCCCTCTCTCTCTCCACCCTGTAGCAAATTTAAAAAAAGAAAAAAAGAAAATCCTGTGATATAGTAACAAAAGGGTTTCTTTAGTTTCCTTGTTTGTTTCAATGACCATGTGTGGCTTTCTTCCCCACCAGCTGAGTTTGTAAGTGTTGACAAAGGGGAGCTGACAGTTTGGGCAATTTATTAAGACTTATCTGCTTATTTATTTATTTTTAGAGAGAGACTTTTGCTATAGGGTGCATGCACTCGCTGGAGAAACAGAACGAGGCAGAGAGATAGAAAATGAGAAATCACCCCCCAGGGGCGATGGTCACACCACAATCCCTTCTCCTCCATTTTCCTCTCAGGATTTTGGGCACGCACGCACAGGCACCTGGCGTGAGTTTCAAGCCTCCAGGTCCAGGACTCAAACTGTGGTTGGTCATATGGGAGTCCAGTGACATAATCATTATGCCATATGCTAGTCTCAATATATGTTTTATTTTATTTTCTATTTTTTAAGGGTTTTGCTGGAGAGAGATAGTGAGAGGGAAAGTAAGAAATCACCCCCCGGGGAGGGGGGAGATGGCCATGGTGGCATCCCTTCTCCTCCATTCTCTTCCTGAGATTTTTGGCAGGCACACATATGTGTCCAGCATGAGTTTCAAACCACTGACTCCAAGACTTGAGTTGCCCATGTGGGAGTCCAGCGCCTTAACCACCATACCGCCTGCTGGCCTGTAACTTTTTTACTTAATAGAGCATTTATTGGGCCAGCAGGTGGTGTGGTGGTTAAGGTGCTAGACTTCCACATAGCCGACTTTGGTTCAAATCCTGGATCTGGTGGCTTGAAACTCATGCTAGGTATGTGTGCATGTGTGCCCAAACCCCCAGGAGGAGAATGGAGCGGAAGGGATCACACCACAGCCATTCCCCCTGAGGAGTGGTTTCTCACTTTCTCTCTCACTATCTCTGTTTCTTCGGCACAAGCTATGGCAAAAACAAAAACAAAAACAAAAAACCCAGAAAGACTTTTTTAATGAAAAAAAAAAAACAGAGCATTTATAAAATTTCCCCACTTGCTTCAAACTGTGGGGGGCTATGTTCATAAATGTGTGCAGGACCGCACATTTTTTTCTGTTTGCTGGGGCTCCTACATGGCTGTCCCCCTCTAAAGTGAGGCAGGAACTTGGGTCCTCCCAGAGAGCCAACTCCCTCTGCTAAATTTCCCTCAGTGGCCAGCAGGGGTCACTGTGGGGCTGCACCACCTGGACGGCTTGGTCGGGAAGGAGCCGCAGCCTCTGAGCACCCCCATTCCTGACACCCCATCAGTCACTGCTCAGGCTGGCTGTGGTAGCTGACCCGGTTGCTCAGCTCTTGAGGAGAAGACTGAGGGTAGAGTGCAAACTAAACGCCAGACAGTGCCCCACCTGATGGCTTGCACCCAGAAGGCCCCGCATGGCCTTGGCTGACCCTTGTCTGCCTGGCTCCAAGCAGGCTGTCAGCACTGCCTTCTCCAGGGGGTGGTGAGTGGTAGAGCCTTTGTCAAGGCCATATCTAGAAGAACCCAGTTTTGACCCTGTTGGAAACCCTTTCTCCACTCTAGAGCCAACTGGAGTGACGTGGGTGGGTGGGGCTTTCTCCCCAGAGACTACCCCTCACTCTGAGATGTCCCTTCTCCTCTGATAGTCCCTGGGGCCCTATGGCCCCATGACCCCATTCCACTCGGCTCTGGCCGGGCCTGAACCCACCAGGGGCTACGAGGCCCACCAGGACTTGGAAGGCCTCCTGGATTGTCTCTGCCTCCCTTTCCCTTGCCCTCAGCCTCCAGGCCTCACCCTCACCCATCCCCCCCTCTTCCCAGCTCTGCCTTTTGTCTTGCAGGACTCATCTTAGGCCCACCCACCCTCCTGCCTCCTTGCACTCCTGGCTTTGCACTGGCCAGACCTCTGTCTGAGCGTCCCCACTATCCCAGCACTCTGCTAAGCACTGCGGCCTACCCCCTTCCTGGCACCTGCCTTGCAAGGCAGGCTTCGTGTTCCTTCTATGTTAAACTAGAGGCGACTTGCCCAAGGTCACGCAGTGCCACATGACCCAGTCAGAGCTGGAGCAGCCTCTGGCTTGCTGTGCTGCCTTGCTGGAAGGGCCTGGCCAGCACTGTCTCCTGCCTCTGCACCCTCTTCCAGCTCACACGACTCACTTGGCCCGTGCTCGTGTCCAGCTTTCTGAGAGTGGCATTGGCTTCCTTTGCTTTTCTATGGCGTGTCTCCACTGTGTCAAGGCGGGAGGGGGCCTGCCTGCACCCGACGAGCTCATGGTCTGCGAGGCAGGACTTCCCTGCGTGTCAGCTGAGTCTTCCCAGCAGCCCAGAGCCCTCCCCAGGGGCAGAGGCGGTTTCCTGCTTCTCCTGCAGCCCACCCGGGGGCGGTGACCTCCCTGTCCCTCCTCAGGGAGTTGCTGTTGCTGACTGTTGCCCCCGTTGTGGGGTGGGGACTGGGCAGGCCAGCCCGGCAGGCCAAGGGGGGGATAGTGGGCTTGAGAGAGTGTCTGGGAGCTGAGCGCCCAGGGAGGTGTGTAGGGTCAAGGCCGATGAGAGCAGCGTCCTTCTCAGGCGCCCATGGCCTGACCCACCCCGTGTAACTGGGGCCGCAGGGCTGCCACTCGGCGCTCCCAGTGGTCAGGTCTGGAAGGCCGAGGTCCAGTCCCAGGCTCTAGAACATTTGACAAACTAGAACATTTGGACAAATGACCCTCCCGTCTGGACGTCCCTCCCAGATCTTTCCCACATACCTGATCCTTGCCAGATTTCCAAAGCAAAGTCTAAAAGTCCCTGCCTTTTTTCTTTTTCTTTTTTTTTTAGCTTTTGCTATAGGGTGTGTGAGTTCACAGGAGAGAGACAGAGAGTGAGAAATGATCCCCTGGGGGGTTGGCCATGTCACATCCCTTCTTTCCCATTCTCCTCTAGGGAGTTCGGGCGTGCAGGCATACACACCGGCATGTGTTTCAAGTTGCCAGATCTGGGACTTGAACCCTCAGCAGGCCGTATGGGATCTAGCTCCCTTAGCCCTGCAGTACCTCCTGGCTTTCTGACAAATGTGGATACCTCTGGTCCTCCACCAGTCCAGCTTCTAGTTCCCAGCCCCGTGGTCCTGCTCCAACAACCTCACAGCAGTCTTAAGCTCCAGTTTAGAGTCGAGCCTGAGAGCCGCCAAGGCTGACACAGGTGACAGGGTGCCTTTGGGGGTGGCTTTCAAGACAAAGGGTGAGCCCAGAACTAAGAGAAGGGGAGAGAGGCGAGGGCAGGTGTGGGAGAAGGCCGAGTGAGTTGCAGAGACACAGGGAGAACGGGTCTGTTTAATGACACAGCCGGGTCCGCTTACAAACACCAGAAAATACGAAAGGAGGACAGGCAGTTACACGGATGACTGCACGAGGATGGGAGGAGGCCACACGGCACAGGAGCCGCAGCAGCAAAACAGCCTTGAGGACGATACATGTGACCAAGGGGCACACATGGGGGGAGGCTCCCAGCAAGGCTGCAGGGGTGGATAACAGGGCCCGACTGCCCGCCGAGAGGAGGGGCGGGGCAGGAGCAAGCCCAAGGATCTGGCCCTGCCGTTCTGCTGCCCAGCAGCCTAGGAACCCCAGGGATGTCCGCGTGGCACAGCCAGACGGGGCTGCCATCTGAGGGTTCTTTACTGGGACCTGCTGCCTGCACGGCCATCCCATCTGGAACTCTTGGGCCCCTCTGTCTGCCTTTGCTCACTCTATGGCAGGTCAATGAGCCAGATTCTTGGGAGAGGGAGGGCAAGCAAATCCGTTTAGCCTGCAGGAATGTGGGGAGAGGGAAGGGGCCGTGCCCTGCCAGAAGCTGGGCTGCCCGGCGCTGCCCTCCAGGCCCGGACCTCTCTGTGCTGCTGCGGGACTCCACCTCCGCCAGATGCTCGTTCTTTGCCCAGAGGCATGAGCTGGCCCCCATCCTGCCCCACACGTAGGTGGGCATGGCCAGGGCTCTGGCCCCTGCAGATACACATTGCAGATACGTACGCGTGTGTATATATATGTTTATATAGAGACTGTATGTAGAATATATCTGTATATGTGGTAGCGTGTGCGGTACTCTAGATGTCACGCGGAGACCTGCATGCTGGCTGGCAGGTAGACATGGGGCTGGCTCCTTCCTGGAGCGACCGAGGCCTGCCCCGGCTTCCCGCCCGCCGCTCCGCCAGGGCTCACCCTAACAGAGAGGAGAAAAACGAA